ATAAAATATTTTTGTCACCGCATATTTTGTAGAACTTTTGACGTAGTGTTTAAATATGTAAGTTTTATTTTTTATTTGTAGACCATTCTTTAAATAAAATGGATTAAAAAATCAAAAAATTACTTGATTTAGCGTAATGTTGCTTATATTTTGGGACGGAGGGAGTATATTATTCCCTCCATCAAAAAAAGAGCATAATTAGACTTTTAATTATTCAAAAGTTACAAAATCTTTTCATTTATTCATTCATAAGAAGAAAGCATTTACGTACTATACATATAATCCCATCCTCGAAGCTAAAATAATAGAGAAGTTTTGCATATATTCTCAATCTATCCATATATATCTAATGAATGATCAAAACCAGAAGAACTAAAAATTACCAATAAAATAAAGAACATCGTGTCCATTAATAAGTAATAACTGGGCATCAAGAATCAAGAAACCGGGTAGTATAATTGATTCAATTCGCCCAATAGATCCAACTCAAAGTTCCATAAGCTGATTTGCGAAGGCCTCTACGTCCCCAAGAAAGTCGTCATCCCCGAGCGAATAATTCATCGGCATCGACTCTAACTCGCCCAAATCCGCAAACCGATTCTCATTCCTAGAATCACAGCCCAAACACCCTTCTCTCGACTCAATCATGTGGCAGGACGACGCCAGCTCGACCAAATCAAGGAACCGATTCTCATTCCCAGAATCACATCCCAAACACTCTTCTCTGGACTCAATCACGTGGCAGGACGCTAGCTCGCCGAAATCCCACTCGTACCTGCCGGCAGAATCAAACTCGCCCAAACTCCCGCCCGCCGCCCCGAGGAGGGCATTGGGGTCGTCGAAGATGTAGGGTTTCATGGCGGGGGAGAAGACGAGGGCGGCGACGCGGTTTCCCGGGTAGAGGCGGCAAATCTCGTGGGCTTTCTTGAAGAGACCCTGGCGGCGGTTGGTGAAGGCCACGCTCCTCCTCTCCACGTTCTCGATTTTCTTAATATCGATTTTGGCCTTGTCTTTCCCCATTATGAAGGGAAAATTCTGATTAAGAAAGAAATTAAACAACGATGTCTGAAGAAGAAGGAAGATTAAGGAAGTTAATTGCGCCAGGTGAAGTTCCATCTGGGGAGTGTGGTTAAATATATAGGGCGCGCGGGAGGGTCCGAAAACGACGGGAATTCAGTTGGGACACTCTTGAAAACGCGTACTTAGCTAAATTTGAGTTCTGTTTTATGTCTGAGATCCAGAAATTTACCACATCCTAAAAAGATTTTTTTAGTGCTTGCATACCAAGAAAAAGGGGGGTTTATTTGGGTTTTACAGTGCAGTAAAAGTGGGTTGGGGTTGGGGTTGGGTTTCGCACTAAATTTTTAGATAGAGTACTAGTAGAGCAATTGTAATCAAACACAATTATACATTTATATTATTCCCTCCATCAAAAAAGAAAAATTAGAATTTTGATTATTCAAGAGTTACAAAATCTTTTTTATCTGGTTTTTTTTATTTTTTTTGATAAAATAAAATATTTTTATCCCATTTTATTTTGGATATTTTAACATTTTTTTTGAATATGTAAGTTTTTATTTTTAAATTATATATTAAAATCTTTAAACAAATGAATTTAAAAAACTTGAAAATTTGTTTCGTTTTGCAAAAAGTATAAAATATTTTGTGAGGCGGGGAGTATATAAACTATATATATGAGCTTTGGGCATTTGGGGGACTACATTTATTAAAGCACTGGGTATACTCCTCACGCCCACCGGCGTTACGGGGCGTTTAACTCCCCGGGGGCGTGAAACACCGCCCCCCGCCGGCGTTAAAGGGGCGTGAGGAGCCCTGCGCCAAACGAATGACGCGCCGTGATTCTTCTTCCCCTCCCTCCTAACGGCTTTTTTAGCCGCTGCAGCCCAAATTTCAAAAAAAAAAAGAATTCCTAAAAATTCAACCCCCCAACCAATCTCTCACACCTTCTCTTCAATCTCTTCTTCTTTCTTATTTTTAAATTTAAAAATTCAACCCCCCTCCCAATTTTCAACATGAATCCTTCCGGCTCCGGCTTCTTTCCCGACGATCTCCCGCCGAGTGACGCCGCGATGTGGTTCTACCAAGAGTGGGGCGATCGACCGCCGATCTACGAGACGCAACAATCGGGGTACGACGACCGAGATTTGGTTCCGGAGACTCAACCGGAACTGTCCGGATCAAAAAAAAGTACACGCCGGAAAAGCCACAAAGCCAAAAGCACGTTGATCGAGGCGGCACGGTCAATCAAAAAGTGGTCGCCGGAGGAGGAGTGCATATTGGCGTCGGCTTGGGTTGACGTCTCCAAGCATCCTATCATTGGTAAAAAAAAAATTTCTAATATATTTATGTTTTTATTTATATATATTATATTTAATGGTGTCTAAAAAAATTGTGTAATACATTTTTAAAGGTACGGAGCAAACGAAGGATGCGATGTGGGATCGTATCGAGGAGAAGTTCTTTACGGCGATGAAGAAGGACGGCTCCTACCGAACCCGGGACCAACTCACTTCCAAATGGTGCCACATCAACAAAAAAATCTGAAAGTTTATGGGAGTTTACGAGGAATGCTCCCAGTCCCGGAGGAGCGGCACGAACGACGCCGATGTTCTCCGGCTTGCCACGACCCGGTATCAAGACGACGGGAACGAAGGCAAGGTGCCCATCGATCTTTGGAAGATTTTGAGTCGTTCCCCGAAGTGGCAACAACTCAACAATCCCGACGGCGGATCATTGCGGAAAAGATCCACCGTCGCCGCCGAGGTTGAGGTCGACGAGACTATCGGTTCTACCGATCAAATCCCTCCCTTCAACGTTGCGGATTTCGATGACGAGGACCCCATTCCACGGCCGATCGGAAGAAAGAAGGCAAAATCCATTGCCTCTGGTTCGGGTGGGTCCGCCTCTGTTTCTGCTTCTCCCCGCGACGAAATCGGCCGGACAATGATTGAACAATTTCGGACGTTCAATCTCCAAGAACAAGAGAGGTTGAAGCTTAAAGAGAAGGAGTTGAAGCTAAAGGAGCAGGAGGCCGAGATGAAAGTCATGCAAACCGACCCCGGGACGTTGTCGGAGTTTGGACGAATTATCTACGAGCAAAGAATGAGAGAGATCAAGGAGAAATATAATTTACCTTAGTTTTTTTATTAATGTATCTTTTTTTTAAACATATTGTCGCTTTTTTTATTTAATTAATGTGTNCGAAATCGGCCGGACAATGATTGAACAATTTCGGACGTTCAATCTCCAAGAACAAGAGAGGTTGAAGCTTAAAGAGAAGGAGTTGAAGCTAAAGGAGCAGGAGGCCGAGATGAAAGTCATGCAAACCGACCCCGGGACGTTGTCGGAGTTTGGACGAATTATCTACGAGCAAAGAATGAGAGAGATCAAGGAGAAATATAATTTACCTTAGTTTTTTTATTAATGTATCTTTTTTTTAAACATATTGTCGCTTTTTTTATTTAATTAATGTGTTTTTTTATTATTCGTGTTTCAATTTAATTAAATAATAAATTTATTACATTTTATTAATTTAATTTTAGAAGATGTATGTTTAAAAATGTAAAAAATGAAGGTTTGAAGCCCTAGTTTGAAGCCCCGGGGCTTCAAACCCATTTCCAGTGAATTTTGGGTGTAAGTTAAAGCTGACGTGAGAGAGAGAGAAAGTTTGAAGCCCCGGTTTGAAGCCCCGGGGCTTCAAACGTATTACCAGTGCTCTTAATTCATGCTTGATATTTTCAAGTCAAATTTGACAACTTTTGATTACGGGTATTTATTACTCTATAAAAAGTTAACCTGAGCATGTATTAGTAAAAATATTTCATTAGAATTACTTCCTATTTTGGATAAATATTTAAAAAAAATATTTTATTGTATTAATATGAAACACAATTTTTATGTAATTGATGATTCATTTTGTTTGTTTCATAAAAAAAATTTAATTATTATAATATTCTGAAACAGATCAAGTAATTACATTAAGAGATAAATATTATGTAGTGTTTGGGAACTAGAATTCATTTAAAATCTTATATTTCAATTTCAAAATTTGAAATTTTATAATTTCAAATTCAAAATAATGTTAATTGGAAAGTAATAAAATTTCAATTCTAGAATTTGAATTTCGAAATAGACAAAGATGATGATGAAAGCGGGTTGATAAGAATGAAATTGTTGTGGTTTAAGGGAAAATGGCACTTTAATTACAAATTATAAGTTGAAAAAAATTGAGTTTGAATATGTAACTGACATGAAAAGAGGTGTGAATTTGAAATTGGTTTAATTTTGAATGAGAAAAAGTTGACCCAATTTCAAATCCAAATTCTTTGAGTTTCCAAACAAATAATTTGGATCAATTGTAGATTTAATATCCAAATTCAACTTTCTAAACACGCCATAATGAAGATATATTCACTATTGTTTGAGAGTGATTTTAAATTGAATAACTACACTATTGTTACAAATTCATTTTAAATTTTTTAGAATTAATACTTTTAAACAATTCTTTAGCTAAAGTAATACTTTTATTGTAAAATGCATTATAACCAATCAGTCGTCTTTAATTAAAATACATACGGAGTATCTACTACTTTGATGCAAAAGTTTAATTTGGTTCTATTGCTAGTCATTTAGGAGCAAAGTATGAGTATCAAACCCTTAGCTTACAATTTCCATTTCATTGGCCAAAGATTTTTATTACAAAATACTATTAATAGTTTAGAAATTTTAAAATAAATTTGTAACATTGTGTTATTTGATGTTAGTATTATTTGATTAAACATCAAATAATATTTTATGGACTTTGACCTTATGAGTAAGTATATTTTGAATAAAAAGAAGAAATTAATCGTGTATGGAGTATTTAATAAATAAAAAATAAGAATGAAAGAACAAAAATAAATCTTAAGACTAAAAATGAAATTTATACATTATAAACGGATTACAACATATACTCTCTCTTTCAAGATTTTTATCTTCTCATTTGATTTTTTTGGTCAAAATTTATAAACTTTGACATTTATTTATTGCAAAACTACACTTTTTGTTATATTGATAATATCAATACTTTCCATTTGAAGCCTAATTTTAAAATATTTACTTTTTATACTCCATCCGTCTGGAAATTTTCTTCTCATTTGACTTTTTACGGTCTCCAAGATTGCACTTTGACCACTAATATCTTTATTTATACATAGATATATTTTGTAAAAATTTGATATTTGAAAACTATATATCAAAAGGAATATATTCATATTAAAGTTATATCGTGATACAATGTATTTTTTCCATAAATCATAGTCAAAGTTTATAACATTTGACCAAAAAAAGTCAAATGGGAAGAATAATTTCGGACGGAAGGAGTAAATTATACCTATGTATAGATCTTGACAATAATAGTTAAAGTGTTACATTGTATACCATGAAATACCAAATAAAAAGATTAACTCGAGAGTGAGCATTTAAATTGGGGAGGACTATTTGTTAAAATAATAATTTTACAAGAATGATTTAATAAAAAAATAAAAGGACTACAAGAAAAATCGATAATTTTACAAGAATAAATAAGAGACTCTATATTTAATTGTACGGAGTATTCAAGGACGTGATGCAGCATACACTCCATCCTTGTATTTGGGATATTTTCCCCAAATTTTCTTGATTGAATTGAGATTATCATCGGCAATGACATCAAGGAGTTCATTGAAGAACTCATCAAATGAGACATCAAGATCAAGCACAAAAGCTCTATTTGAATGCAATGAGTAATCTACTTCATTGTTTTCAATTTTTAGCTCACCATTCCAATAGGCTAGAATGATAAATTTACCATCAGATGCCATTTTTTGAGAATGTAAAGAAAAGTAGTGAGTAGATATTTGAAAGTATAATTTTTAAATGGTAAGAGTGTGAGAGTAAGTGTTAAATATATAGTAGAAAATGTGAGTTAGGTGCAGGATTTTTATTATGTTAGGTGAGATATTTTTGTTTGATAAATTAAATATATTGAGTTAGGTTGATTGTTTGGTGTAGAATTTTTTTAGGTGTTAGTTAGATTGAATGGTATAAGATCGAGTTAGGTGAATTCTATGGTGTGGATCTAATTTAATTTGGAAAAATACTTCAAACGGTAGATGAAGTACCGTCTCATATTAAATAATTTTTTTTAAAATGACGAAACAGTAGATTATCTACCGTTTCGTATTAAATATTTTTTTTTAAATGACGAAACGGTAGATTATCTACCGTTTGAATAAATTTTTTCGATGAGAGCACTGATCGGGAACACTTTTTTGGCAGTTGCACTGTCCGGGGGCAGTTGCACTGTCCGGGAATTAAATCGTTCTCGTGTATTGGTTTGTCCTTGAATCCATTTGACAGTCTTTTGGGAGTCACTCTTAACAATAAGTTTTCGTAGGTCCTTTACTCTATGTCCATATTAGTCCTGGAAGGAGTGTACGTATCCTCTTTTTTACCGCACAGGTTTGTACGGCCACTTTGACAATTTAAATTGACAAAAATAACTAGTGTAAATTTTTTCTAATTGTACCAACATTTTATGTAAATGTATGCCATCAACGTGACGTTGTACGTGTACAAAATGGAGTAAACATTTGGAATATAAAAGTAAAGTGATTTTATGATAGACCTAAGACTCACATGGACAATCACACTTATTTTTCAAAATTTTATAAATATTTGTTTCTATATTTAAAAACCCTTTGGTTCCCATAACATTGTGAACCAATGTCCTGGGATGACCCGGGGGCGCTCCGGTGTCCCGTTCGTAAAATTGACGGTTCGTACCCCTCCTAACCACCCCGGTAAACCCCCTCACCCCGCCCCGACCCGAACACACCCCCACCCCCTTCAATTGCACCCCACAAGTCGATTTTGACTTTGGAATCAAAATTTGACTCCAAAGTCAAAATCGACTTGTGGGGTGCAATTGAAGGGGGTGGGGGGTGTTGGGTCGGGGCGGGGTGAGGTGGTTTACCGGGGCGGTTAGGAGGGATAGGAACTGTCAATTTTACGAACGGAGTACCGGAGCGCCCCCGGGTCATCCCATGAGATTGGTTCCCAATGTCATGGGAACCTTCCCCATTTAAAAATACATATTTAATACTCCCTCCGTCCCTATATAGATTACAATTTTTTTTCTCTCTTCTTAATAACTTTTATTTGTTTACACGATTTTATTAAATATTTCATAAAATAAAATATTATTGTCAGCTCTGGTTTTGTAGAACTTTTGACGTAGTTTTTTATTATATAATTTTTACATCTTATTGATATATACTAATTTGTAAATAAAATGATTTCAAGAAATATAAAAATTTACCCCATAACTCATAATTTGTAATTAAATTGGGGACGGAAGGAGTAAGAAATATATACGGAGTATAAAGTTTCATAGAGGGCTTTGTTTGGTAACAGCGTTTTCGATTAGCGTTAGCGTTTTGGATAAAATTTTTACGGTGCAGATTAATTCTGAAACGGTAACGCTAAAAGCTACCGTCGGATAGCTTTTTTAAAACGCTAACGCTAATCTCAGACGCTGATGCCAAACGGGCCCATACATGCAACCTATCAGTATCAGAGCCTTATCTTAGATATGGTATTTTCCTCGTCCCTTCTGCAAACATTCATTTTACAAGAATGTTAAACTCTACCCCGTTAGTGGCAACCGCAGCCGTAGCCTCCGCAGCCACTTCGTCATTGTCGCCTTCTCTTCCTCCATACACCAAGAATCTTCCATTATGCCACCGCCGACTTTCTCTCCATACACCCTTTCACTTCCTCGTCAGATCAAAGCCCATTAAACACCCGAAACTCAACGCCCATTTCTCCGTTATCCGCGCCGTTACTCGCCCCGCAATCTTCCATGAAGATGCCCAATTTGCAGAAGCAGACCATGAAGAAGACGAAGATGAAGTCGAAGAAGACGAAGATGAAGTCGAAGAAGAAGGCTTTGGATCTCAATCAGATGGATCTGGGAAATTATATGTGGGGAATTTGCCTTTCGCGTTAACCCCTCCTGAGTTGTCTGAAATCTTCTCGGAAGCTGGGGATGTTAAAAATGTTGAGGTCTGTGTTTGAACTCCCATTTCTTGAATTTCTTGAAAAGTAGAAGTGAATTTTTTAAATTTACATTGCAAGCTTCTTATAGTTTAAGAAAAGTGGAGTAAATGCCGATGATTTTTGGAATTCTTGTGCTTATTGTTTAGTTAAATATATAGAGGAAAAAGATTATAGTATGAACAAAACATTGAAAGTATACCAAAATAGGATTTTCATGTTATTATTCCTGAAATAGGAGTTAAAATGTATTTTCACTTGTACAGTGCCGCATTACCACTTCTATTTAGGGAATAAAAACATAGAACTTCTATTTTGATACTTTTTCTATCTTTCAGT